GGCTCAGTGGGTTAAAGCCTCTGCCTTCTGTCAAATAAATAAAAAATCTTAAAAAAAAAAAAAAAAAAAAAAAGACTGTAAAGCCAAAGGAAGTTGGGAATAAATCCTTTTTAGAGAACCATACTGTAGGTATCCACATCCCAAAATCTACTTTCAGTATAGATTTTTTTTAATTAAAGATTTTTATTATTTATTTATTTGACAGACAGATCACAAGTAGGTAAAGAGGCAGACAGTGGGGTAGGTGGGGGCAGCAGGCTCCCCGCTGAGCAGAGAGCCGGATGTGGGGCCCGATCCTAGGATCCTGGGATCATGACCTGAGCAGAGGGAGTACCCACTGAACCACCCAGGCGCCCCTACTTTCAGTATTGATTTTAACAGCCAGTCCCCATGTTCTCCAGGGATTTAGTATTAAGGATTTGAGGGGTTTTGTTTGTTTGTACAGCAGTGAGTTTTATGTACAATTAGACGCTCTTTTCTTCCATAACGTCTTTTTGCTTCCTGGCATTCTTTTTTTTTTTTTTTTTTTTTTAAAGATTTTATTTATTTATTTGTCAGAGAGAGAGAGAGGGAGAGAGAGCGAGCACAGGCAGACAGAATGGCAGGCAGAGGCAGAGGGAGAAGCAGGCTCCCTGATGAGCAAGGAGGCCGATGTGGGACTCGATCCCAGGACGCTGGGATCATGACCTGAGCCGAAGGCAGCTGCTTAACCAACTGAGCCACCCACGCGTCCCAACTTCCTGGCATTCTTTATCAAGTGTGTGGAAGGCGAGGTTTACTTTGCTTAAACCTGGGCAGCCTAAAGCCAGTCCCAGTTTTTCAGTAGTCTCTTGATAAGAGATGGGGAAAGACTTTTATTGAAGTAATCAAGACCATCCTTAGACAATAGCAGACCTTTCATTCCATCTCAGTTTTCTTATCTCTTTGATCTTAACCATGTGGTTATGAGGGTCAGGAGTTGGAGCCTCATGGGCCTGGAGCCTACTTTAACCCACTGAGCCATCCAGGTGCCCCCAGAGCCTACTTTTAAAAAAAAGAAAAAAGCACAACATAGTGATGTGACAAATCGTACATTATGAAATGCCTGCCACAGTAAGTGTTGTTATCATGCATCACTTAACCATTCTGGTTATGGATGTAGACATCTCAGGAGGAATTATGTAAAGGGTTAAAGTGTATTGGAAAGGACCATTGTCAACGCGATCTAAGGTACTTAGTCTGAAGACGATGAAAAGCAGGAAGGTGCTCTGTATAATGTAGTTTTATTATGCTGGCTTATTATATAGATGCTGTATGTAAATATTTATACATGTGCTGATTTTTTTTTAATTTAAGTTTACATAATGATATTTGGAAGGATAACTGCTCATTGTAAGCCCCTCACCCCAACAAAAAAAAAATCACTCTGGCTAAAACCGTGGCAGCCCATCCCACCAATTCTTATATTTGGGTTTCTTTTTTCTTTTTTAAAGATTTTATTTATTTATTTGACAGAGAGAGACACAGTGAGAGAGGGAACACAAGCAGGGGGAGTGCGAGAAGGAGAAGTATGCTTCCCGCTTAGCAGGGAGCCTGATGAGGGCCTGGAGCCCAGGACCCTGGGATCATGACCTGAGCTAAAGGCAGACGCTCAATGACTGAGCCACTCGGGTGCCCCATATATTTGGGTTTCTAAAGATGATTAGCATCACTATCAAGTATGTAGAATAAGTAGAAATCAAAGTTTACAAAATAATAGCGGACATTCAGATGGATGGATTTAGTATGGAGTGGTAGAAGGAACTTAAGCACTGAGGCTTAATTCATCTAACTAGTGAGCTGAATCAGGACTGGAGAGATCAAGCTCTTTTTACTGAATACAGGAGCATAGTGGCTTTATTTGTCTTCTCTCTTTTTAATGTACTGTAATGTCAAAATTTAATGTACTGTAATGTCAAAAAAAAGTACCGAACTCATTTGAAATCTTAATATTCAGAGCCCCAGGCAGTACTTTTTAAGAATGGAATTAAGATTGCCAAGATGTGTGCTTCAGAGGGTCCTAGGTCTGCGTTTGGCCTTCACCTTGATGTTCCATGTCTGTGTATCATGCTTCCTTTAGTGGGGAAAAGGTTATTATAGTCTAACTGGGATCATTACCTGTAAAGTTGCTCACCTGTGTCCTCCCAGGTGTAATATTATATTTACACAAATTGCTCAGGGGTTAGTGATGAATTTACAGAAACAGGATCTTTCAATTATGAAATTCCACATAAAGGTACCATATAGCAGAAGACAGGAAAAGGCAGGGGCATTTTAGCAATTCAGGGATGTTTGTTGCATAAGAAAAACTTACTGTTTTAGGAATTGAGGTACCTAAGTTGGGGATATCTATATTTATTTGGAAGTGGTTAGTAATCTGTATTGAAGAAGATGGGAGATTGATTGTATAAAAGCCAGTTACTTGGGTGGGAGCGGGGCCACCTGCTAGCTGGAACAAGAAAGGTATCCAGTCTTCCCTCTAGGGATGGATACACAAAGTGTGATATGCAGTACAGTGGAATATTTTGTAAAGATTTTATTTATTTATTTTAAAGATTTGTTTATTTAGGGCTCAGTGGGTAAAAAAAAAAAAAAGATTTGTTTATTTAGAGAGCATGAGGGGGCAGAGGGAGAGGGAGAGAGAATCTCAAGTGGACTCCCCACTGAACAGGGAGCCTGAGGTGGGGCTCAGTGAAACCAGAGTTGGCTGCTTTACCAACTGAGCCACCCATGCACCCCTACAGCAGAATATTATATAGCATTAGGAGGGAAATTCTGTGACATGTTACATGCTAAGTGAAATAAGCCAGTTACAAAAGGACAAATACTGGGATGCCTGGATGGCTCAGTTGGTTGAGTGTCTGATTTTGGCTCAGGTTATGATCTTGGAGTCATGAGATCGAGCCCGGCAGACTCCTCAGACAATGTGGAGTCTGCTTCAGATTATCTGTCTCCCTCTCCCTCTGCTCCTCCCTTTGCCCGCTTTGTCTCTTTCTAAAATAAATAGATCTTAGGGGCACTTCGGTGGCTCATTGGGTTAAGCCTCTGCCTTTGGCCCAGGTAATGATCTCAGTCCTGGGATCAAGCCCCGCATCGGAGCTGAGCAGGGAGCCAGCTTCCACCTCTCTCTCTGCCTGCCTCTCTGCCTACTCTCTCTCTAATAAATAAAATCTTTTAAAATAAATAAATAAATCTTTTTTAAAAATCACACAAAAGACCAAATACCATATGTTTCCCCTCATATGATGTACCTAGAGTAGCCAAATTCATAGACAAAGAAAGTACAGTAGTAGTAGTTGCTAAGAGCTAGGAGAAAGGGGATTGAAGAGTTAATTGTTTAATATATATGGAGTTTTATTTTGGAGAGATGAAAAAGTTCTGGAGATGGATGATGGTAATGGTTGCACAATGGTGTGAATGTACTTAATGCCACTGAACTGTACACTTAAGAATGATTAAAATAGGGGCACCTGGGTGGCTCATTGGGTTAGGACCTCTGCCTTCGGCTCGGGTCATGATCCCAGGGTTCTGAGATCGAGCCCCCTGTCATCGGGCTCTCTGCTCAGCCGGAGGCCTGCTTTCCCTTCCTCTCTCTCTGCCTGCCGCTCTGCCTACTTGTAATCTCTGTCTGTCAAATAAATAAATAAATGAATGAATGAATCTTAAAAAAAAAGATTAAAATAGCAAATTTTATGTTGTATATAATTTATCCAAATAACAAAAAAATTAAAAAGCCATATATTTACAAAATGCACATCACTATTTGATGTGACTATTTAAGTTTTTTATTTTTTATTTTATTTTTTTAGAGAGAGAGGGAACATGTGAGGCGGTGGGGGGCAGAGAGAATCTTAAGTAGGCGCCACGTCCAGTGTGGAGGCCAACCCAGAGCTGGATCTCTTATGACTCTGAGATCATGACCTGAGCCAAAATCACGAGTCCTGCTTAACCGGCTGAGTCACCTAGGTGTCCCTTGTCTGATGTAATTATTAACTGAGTTTATTCCAAGTTCCAAAATGTGACTGATAGCCTCTAATCACCAAGCAACAAAATTTTGTTCTTTTAGGCTAATTCAGAAGGTTTTAACACTTAAAGTATTATGGAAGAAAAAATCTGGCCTTCATTCTCCAAATTAATGTTTCCTGACCTCCCTTTTGTAACATCCTAGGTATCTCCAGTTATCTCAAGGAATTTATAAAATTCTTAAGACAAAATTTAATTTACTTAAATCTTTGAAGCACATGCTATATATTATATTGCCTCTTATAGAAGATTTTAACTTATTATTCAGATTAAACTGACCTTTAAAGGATACTCATGAGTAAAGAGGACTTTAAACAGATGTGACCCATTCACTTATTACCAGGATTCTCTGACCTGCGTTTACAGGTTGCTTATAGTTAGAGAGTTATCACACTTTAAGCAAATTAGTTATTTCAAATAATAATGCGACAAAGTAAATATTTAACTTCTACAAGACTGAGAATAATTCTAGGCAGTGTTTCCTGACAGTGATTAGATGAGTTTTATAATTTCCTGAATTAGAATTAAATATATAGAGATTTAACATAGTTATTAATTTTTAGATATTACTATATTATTTAATCTTTTTTCCTTCATAACTGTAAAATTCTTTATAAAGTTACCTCCCCTAGTCGTCTTTGATGACCAGAAGTGTGAAAATTGTTTTTTTTTTTTACTTTTAACAAATTTTAACAAATTGTATGAGTTAGAATATTTTATTACCCCTTGATACAAGTTCAGTTGAACTTGTGTGGTGCTTAATACGTACATTCTCAAGTAAAAGATTACTTTCTCTTCCAATGTTTTATGTGGGCATCGTTATGTTGTAAGTTGTCCCCGCTTTTTGTATTTGTTGAAAAGAATTCCCTTTTCATGCATGTATTTACATTGGTATTTTTAGGTAAAAATCAAGAGAAACTACTATATCATATAATAAAATTTGTCTCCCTCTCTTTTAGGATATTTTCTTTTCTGGATGTTGTTACTTTGTGTCGCTGTGCTCAGGTCTCCAGGGTAAGAATGGTTGAGATTATTCTAGGGGTACCCCTTCCTGATGCTGATGATGTCAGCCTCTCTAGTAGGCAAACCGTTTACTTCAGATGTTAGTTGTATGTTATGTTTCAGAGGATGGTATTTTATGTATGGCATTCCCAAATTCTGCAGTGGCCTTCTGCAATATGTACTGTCTCTAATTTTTTGGAAATCTTAACTATTTGTAAAATGCAAACAGAGGAAACATTTTTAAGGAAAAGGTATTAAACATGCAAATCAAAAGAATAGGCTCTACTCAGAATTGTAATAAAATAGTGTTTCATTGTTTTTCTAGTTCATTTTATGTGCACACACACACCCACACACACAGAAGGCTCAGGGCTCTAATTCTCATGTTATTTCCCCATATTGCTTTCCTCAAAAGATAATAGCTAGAATATAATTTATTTTAAAATTATAGGGCAAACCAGATTCCATTCTTAAAGTCAATTTTTAATTTCACTTAATTATCTATTTTTTATGATAAAACTGAAACATCATAATCTTATTGGCTGCCACTAACAAAGAATAGATTCTGTGTTGTGGGAATATTGCTTTCTTTTTGTAATACAGATCTATAATGATTAACTCACAGTGAATGAGCACATGCAATCATCATTTTTTTTAATAAACCAGACAGTGGCTTTTTACTTGTTCATTTAAAAAATACTGAGAAACTACTGGGTATGAGATATGGTCCTAAGTGCTGGATATGGAACAGGTTTATACCATACTGTGTTTATCTTTATAGCTGTGCACAGGTTTTCAAATAACCAACACTACTCCCCTCAAAAAAAAACCCACAAAACTTGCCATAGAAAATTCACTGTGTCTTGCTAACTTTAAGGTAATTTCTGCATCCCAAAAGCTGTACTAAATCAGTGTATCAGCTACTCTGGAAACGGTCAGTAATATTTTGGTGATTTTTTTTCTTCATGACTTTTTTGTCCCTTGTATTTGTGCTATGAATATGGCTGATACAAATGAATAGGGTTTCCTTAATATCTCCATTTGAAGCTGAGGTCATCATTGAGAAAATACCGAGGCCAGTATCTTAACTTTTTTGTTTAGTTGCAGTCTCATCTCATGGGTGTTGATTTTAGCGAATTTTAATTGTTTTCATTTGCAGGTTCCTCTTCCCTATTAATGTTTTAACTTAAAGGAAAGAACACCCAGTTTTCATTAAATCTGGAGAATTGGTACATCAGTAGTTATGCTATTGTTCTCTACTTAAAGTACTTAACGAATTAGTTTAAAAAAACAAAGACTCTAGAAAGGACCTTGTGATTCCTAATTTTAGTCTCAGGTTGTCATGTTTCCTTACTGGAGAAAGTAAGAAAATGGCAAACATCAAATCAAACCAGAAGTATATTATGCCTAAGAATCTAGTAAACATGCGATCTTCAAAAGTTTTATCTTTTGTCTCACATGGCTAGCCATTTAAGAAACCATGAGACCACAAAAAGAAAAGCAACATTAACTCCTGAGAAAACCTTTAAGATTTCCAGAATAATAACTTTATTTACCCTCATACTCCTAACATATTTCTGGCAGATTGTGTGACATCCTGCAGCTTACAAGGATATTCAGTTTCCTTATTAGTATCTCAGTATTGACTCCATTTTGATGTATTGTAGTAAGAGATAATATTCTAAGTTTATAAGTCAACAATATTAAGACTTTTGTTTACACTTTAATAAGGAAAGCTTTTAAAGGCTTTCTCATTAAAATGTGATACACAAGTCAAGTCTTATTGGAGTCATTTTTTCTAATCCTGAAAAGTAGAAATTCTTGCCTCTCTTTAGCCTAATTGAAGAAATGTATGAGAAGTCTTAAATGATCACTGTTTTAAGATTTCCACTGACTCAAGATAGAGGGAAAGATGACCAGTTGAGAAACATGCCTTAGTGAGGAAATTGGTAATGAGGAACGCAATAAGATTCTGTCTTGGATGTGAAGAAACGAGGGTGTCAGAATCTAAGTCCCAGGTCACTGTATCAGTTTCAAGTCTGACCAAGTGATTGTGGTTGGCAACTCTGTGTATTGAATATGGCCATATTCAGAGTGTTTTACTCTTTGGTTTTACCTCATCTTGCTTTTCGTTGAAGGATGGAGTAAGAGACTTGTTTTTCATCTCCAGAAGTATCTCATTTGGAGATCAAAAACTAAATTTTCCAGTTAGAGAAGAGTTTCTGGCTAGGATACTTATCACAGACTGTCCTCTTCCGACATCCCCTCCCCCCCACCCCCATCCCAGCTGCTGGTTTCTGTATCTGTTCATTTATGATATAATCTAATTGAATAAAATATGAATCAGAGACAAGGCAGACCTTTTGGGGGTTAATGTGGGGGGGCTGAGAAGTTTTTTGGTCAATTTCTTTTATTAGCTTGAATTGTGAACTTGAATATTGCTGGTTTTCCCCCTTGAGCTTCTGCTCATTTTGTCTCTTTTTCTTCAAAACAGGCCTGGAATGTTCTGGCTCTGGATGGCAGTAACTGGCAGCGGATTGACCTATTTGATTTCCAGAGGGATATTGAGGTATAATTATGTGATGTGTGGCCCCATTTCTCATGTTAGAATGTAATTACAGCATGGAACAGATTAGCCCCAACCATATAAATCTCCTTTCCCTGGAGAGAGAAACTATTAATTTCAGTGCATCTGAACTTCATGGGAACCAGCAGCTTCAGATTTTGAGAACAAGCAGAACTATTTTACTGATGGAATACTAAATGATTTAGTATTAAAAGGACTAGAAATTTTTTTCTTTATTTTTTGTGGTGGAAATGTGAACATATATTTGCTCTTTTAAGGAAGTCTTTATATTTGCTTTTTGAAGAATGAATAGACGGGCACCTGTGTGGTTCAGTCATTAAGCATCTGGCTTCGGCTCAGGTCATGATCCCAGGGTCCTGGGATTGAGCCCCATGTTGGACTTCCTGTTCAGTGGGGTGTCTGCTTCTTTCTCTTTCAGTCCCCTTGCTTGTGTTCCCTCTCTTGCTGTGTCTCTGTCAAATTAAATAAAATCTTTTAAAAAAGAGAGAGAGATGAAGAATGAATAGAGTTAACTGTTTGTTGGGGAATGGTATTTGCATAAATTCTAATTGAGATGAACATTTGGCTTTGGGGGAGCCTACAGACAATTTTTATGGAGAATGAAAAAAGAATAAAGCCAAAGTAACTTAATGAAGTATTTTTGCTGGGGAGAGACTTTCCCCCCCCCCCCTCACTTCTTCCTCATTATTTCATCTCTTAGTATAGCCTATTATCTCTAAAACAGAGAAGGATAATGGCTTAAACTTAAATTATTTTAACATGAACCTGAATTCTGTGGTCCTTGATTTTCTTGTCAGCAGAGTGAAAATAATAGCTTCCTCATTGTATTACAAGGATAAAATGATATTTAGATTTAAAAAATTTTTAAGTTCCAGGGAACTTGTCTTGAGGATCCATATAAGAAGTTTTTCAAAGCCTCACGTGAACTTTCCATTAGAAATGGAACTTTCGGGGCTCCTGGGTGGCTCAGTGGGTTAAAGCCTCTGCCTTCAGCTCAGGTCATGATACCAGGATCCTGAGATTGAGCCCCACATCGGGCTTTCTGCTCAGCGAGGAGCCTGCTTCCCTTCCTCTCTCTCCCTGCCTCTCTGCCTACTTGTGATCTCTGTCAAATAAATAAATAAAATCTTAAAAAAAAGAAAAAAACAGAACTTTCCATTTCTACAGAAAGTGCTTTTAAAATAATCCTCACTGATATCTTGCTAGATTCTCATGTTTTTCACAATTGCCTAATCTTCATGGATATAAATGTTTAAAACAACATGACCCACAACATCATTCAGCAAGCTTCTGTTAAGTGTCCATTGAGTTTCCGCTGTGTTTAGAATGCTGTAGTAAACACTTGGGGGAGGATTCAGAAGCAATAAAGATAGCTAATGTCCTTCAGTAGCTGTAGAAGGGCAGTCTGCGTTACTATAGTAGCCTAGGAAGTGCAGAGCACCATTTCCTCAACTGCAGAGTGTCTCTCAAACTGAGTAGAATGCACAATACAGGGTGTAAGCCTGTTTCAAGTAGATGAGTTGATCACAGTTTTCTCAAAGTAAGTTGGAATTTCTTTCTTGAATTAGATTTTGAAAACAAGTAGAAGCTTTTTCTTTGCTTATAAATTATTTAAAAACAAGGATGTGTTCTTTTCAAAAACAATGTGGTACCTTAATTTTCTATTTTGTTTTTTTACCTGTCTTTTTTTACAGGGCCGGGTAGTGGAGAATATTTCAAAAAGATGTGGGGGCTTTTTACGAAAGTTAAGTCTTCGTGGGTGTCTTGGAGTAGGAGACAATGCATTAAGGTAAGAACATAACTATTGATTAATTGATGTTCTTGGCTGAAGTAAGGAACAGCACTATTTCACCCAGAAAAAGCTAAAATAATTTTTATATTCTTAAGCTCTTCAGAACCCAAACATACATACTTGCTTATAACACAAAAATAGCCAGTATTGGGAGGTATGGTTTTGAGAATAAAACAAGAATAAGTATTCCCCACCAAAAGCCAGATTCCTCACATCATAAATGGCTCTTTTGGAGCCTTGAGTAAATTTTTTTTTAATTTGTTGACTCAGAGTTAGGGTAATTTTAACCTTGGTTGACACAAAGGTCAATATTTAAAAGTTCGTGGTTGAAAATGAATTTATTTGTAATGTGAGCTAGTTTTGTACAAATATCCGGTATTACCAATAGTAATATCTTTTATTATTTTTTGTAATGTCTAGAATTATGCCCATTTCTTTTCACATCTTTAACTTAACTTTGTTTCTTTCCCGTAAAGGACTTTTGCACAAAATTGTAGGAACATTGAAGTACTGAATCTAAATGGATGTACAAAGACAACAGATGCGTAAGTATTTTATGTTTTTTTTTTTAAATTTATTTATTTATTTTTTTAAGATTTTACTTATTTATTTGACAGAGAGAGAGATCACAAGTAGGCAGAGAGGCAGGCAGAGAGAGAGGAGAAAGCAGGCTTCCCGCTGAGCAGAGAGCCCGATGCGGGGCTCGATCCCAAGACCCTGAGATCATGACCTGAGCCGAAGGCAGAGGCTCTAACCCACTGAGCCACCCAGGCACCCCTATTTTATGTTTTAGAAGGGTAAGTCATAGCCCCTTGTGTCCTGCCTATACTAGCTTTAAGTGTGGGCACTTAAATACATTTAGCAAATTTTCATCTTACAGAGGGAAGATATTTTAAAAGGAAAAAACAACATTAAAATGGAAATGGCGTAAGTAACTTGTTTTGGAATCTGGCCCAAATTCTATCTTGATATTTAAAGTGAAGCTTAAAAATTATAGACCATGCAGTAGAGATATTAATAATACAAATTACTAGGACTATTTATATTTCAAGATACTAGTAGGTTTCATTCAAAAAACAAGGTAAACAGGAGTGCCTGGATGGCTTAGTCATTTGAGCATTGATTTTGCCTCTGGTCTGATCTCAGGGTCCTGGGATTGACCCCTACCCCCAACCCTTTGGGCTCTGTGCTCACTGGGGAGTCTGCTTGTCCCTTTGCCCTCCTCCCCGCCTGTACTCTCTCTCTCTCTCTCTCAAGTAAATAAATAAAATCTTGTAAAAAAAAAAAAAAAAAGTAAACAGATAATTCTATTAAAAAGATATAAAATCTTATATAATTAAACAACTTGCAATAATATTGAGCATATATTAAATGACCCTTTAAGTGTACTATGTCTGTTTCAGTTACAGTATAAATGAAATCAGTCCTTCATCCTTGAGAGCTTACTATCACAGATATAAGAGACATGGAAGATAGACATAAAAAACATTCAGCACCCCCCTCCCAAATTCAGTTCCAGGCTATCTGTTGGTAATAAGATGTATCAGATAACACTTAAAATTACATAGGGAAATTGTTTTCTATTTTAAGGTGAAATGAAGCAGTTAGGAAGCATATTTATACAGGGTGGGGCCAGGATTATTCAGGGAATGTTCCTGTTGAAAAAAGGCCTCATGGAGATGGGATCTTTATAATTGCTTTAATAAAGAAAAGTGGAAGGGGCGCCTGGGTGGCTCAGTGGGTTAAGCCGCTGCCTTCGGCTCGGGTCATGATCTCAGCGTCCTGGGATCGAGCCCCGAGCCCCGCATTGAGCCCCGCATTGGGCTCTCTGCTCCGCGGGGAGCCTGCTTCCCCCTCTCTCTCTGCCTGCTGCTCTGCCTACTTGTGATCTCTCTTTCTCTCTGTCAAATAAATAAATAAAATATTTTAAAAAATAAAATAAAGTGGAAGACACTGCAGACACAGGGTACGGTTTATTTCATTCCTTTCTTTGAGGTCACAACATTGTTAACTTTTAGTATAAGAAAGTGTCTGAAAGACAAGAACTATGGTTATTAATTCTACAGTGGTAGAATCACAAGAATACTTGTAATAGTAAGCAAGTATTATTTCTGAGGATTGATTTGACCCTTTAACATGAGAAATAAATCTAACTCCTCCCCTAACTATGACTTTATACCAGTAGTCCACCTTTACTTCAGATAAATTACCTGTTTATTTTTTTCTCCTGAATACTTAATGTTACAGAGATAAAGAATCTGACCAGTTTGGTATCTAGATGAGTGACATACGATTTACACTTTTTTCTAGGAATCTATCCCATAAACCAAAGATAAACTGACAAAAATATGGTATAATTTATGTACGAAGCTATTCATTTTTATTGTTTGTAATAACAAATACTGCAATATATTTTTTAAAGATTTTATTTACTTATTTGACAGAGAGCAGGAGAGCACAGGTCAGAGGAGCTGCAGGCAGAGGGAGAGGGAGAAGCAGGCTACCCGCCAAATAAGGACCCCAATGTGGGGGCTTGATCCTAGGACCCTGGCATCATGACCTGAGCCAAAGACAGTTGTTTAAGCAACTGTACCACCAAGGTGCCCCAAATAGTGCAATATTTCTAATAGCAAGAGACGGGAAATAATCCAAATATCATTCCATAGAGCACTATTAAAAGGAATGAGGAGCTATATAGTATTCTGGAATGATCTCCAGGACGTACTGTTCAGAAAGTGAACTGCAAAGGAGTTTGTATAAGATGTTTTTTGTAGCGGTGCCTGGATGTCTCAATAGGTTGTTTTCTGCCTTTAGCTCAGGTTATGATCTCGGGTCCTGGGATATAGCCCCTCATTGGGCTCCCTGCTCAGTGAGGGGTCTGCTTCTCCTTTTCCTTCTCCTCCCATAGCTCATGCACATACTTGTGCATGCTCTCTCTTTCAAATAAGTAAGTCAATAAAATCTTCTTAAAAAGATACTTTTTGTAGGGCCAGGAGACAATATAAATAAATAGTGCTCTTAATTTACATTTTTAGAAAGAAACAATGGAAAGATAATCAAATGGTTGATTTATCAAATGGTGATTTATAAGTGAGAGAGAAAACAGGGAGAGATGAAAGGGAGACTCTGAAGTGTCATGTTTTATAGTTTTACTTTAATAGCTAGCTATGTAAATGTTTTACATAATTAAAATATTAATTAAGTCAAAAAGAAATCAAAGCACTCCCTAAAAATTGAAAACAAAATAAAACATGTGAACCCATGGGGCATCTGGGTGGCTCAGTCATTGAGCTCTGCCTTCGGTTCAGGTCATGATCCCAGGGTCCTGGGATTGAGCCCCACATCGGGCTCCCTGCTCATCAGGAAGCCTGCTTCTCCCTCTGGCACCCCCCCTGCTTGTGTTCCCTCTCTTGCTGTGTCTCTCTCTGTCAAATAAAAAAAAAAAAAAAACCATGTGAACCCAATCACATCAAGTTGGAGCTATAACCACACAGAGAGAAATTACTTCTACTGACTTTTGATTTTTTTTTAAGATTTTATTTATTTATTTAACAGAGAGAGGGAACACAAGCAAGTGGAGCATGAGATTGAGAAGCAGACTTCCCACTGAGCAGGGAGTCCAGTGTGCAGCTCAATCCCAAGACCCTGGGATCATGCCCTGAACTAAAGACAAACGCTTAACCAACTGAGTCACCCAGGCACCCCTGATTTTTGCATTCTTACAAAAAGTGGGGTTTTTTTTTTAAGATTTTATTTATTTATTTGACAGAGATGACAAGTAGGCAGGGAGAGAGGGGGAAGCAGGCTCCCTGCTGAGCAAAGAGCCTGATGTGGGGCTTGACCCCAAGACCCTAAGATCATGAGCCAAACTGAAGGCAGAGGCTTAACCCACTGAGCCACCCAGGCACCCTGAATTATTACAAAAAGTTTTAAATCTATACCAAGGTAGACAAAAGTGTATAATGAACCCATCACCCAGCTTCAAATTGAGAATCGAAAAATTAATCACTTTAGGGCCAGTCTTGTTTCATCTATATCGTGAAATTTTTCTTATTTTGAAAAAAGTCCTAAACATCATATTATATAACCTGTAAGTATATATTTCTAGAAGATAAAAGCTTTTAACATAAGCATGTTAACTTTATCACTCCTATTAAAAAAAAAAAGCTTACTGTCTTAAAATCATCAAATAACCACTAGTCCAGGTTTTTGCTTGTTCTAGTGACTTTAGAAACATAATATTTTGAAGAGTAAGAGATCAGAAACATATTTTGTAGAGTAAGAGATCAGAAAGTGACTAGAATTTTTGTCTCAAGATGAGGGATCTATTCAAAAAGGGCTATAGGAATCTACATGGATTTGGCTGACAGTAAACTGTAAGTGCACATATTGAGACCCCACAGAGCCAGGCAAAGAACATCTAATAAGGAAAGAACAATTACTGGAAAAGTTGAAAGTGAAAAATTGCCAGAGCTTAAATAAGGCTGGGAGAAGTTCTTACTACCTCAAATAGAGAATACCTTGGGACATTTAATAACAGACTTCAGAAAGGTCACATCTTGGTAGTAAAGCTAGACTAGACCTGTCCCAGTAAAGGTTAAAAGAAAAAAATTTAGAACCAAACTGACCCATAACTAATTTAGTGATCTGCTAAGTAAGTTTAAATTCATCATTCTTTTTTGAAGAAGGCGACAAACCTAGACACTCAGCATACAGAATTTCCACATTCAGCGAGAATTACAAAGACATGCAAAAAAGCATGAAATGATAACCAGAGTAAAAACTAGTCAATAGAAACAGACCCAGAAATGATAGAGATTAGAAATAAAACATTTAAAAATAGCAAGTACAAATGTGCTCAAGAATTTGCAAGAAAACTTAAAGATAATACGGACTTGGAAGTAAAAGGATGAGAAAGTATATACTATCACAATCACTAATCACAGGAAACTTGGAGTGGTTATTAATATGAGATGATGTAAACTTCAGGGAAAAATGCAAATGGAAGACATTAAATAGTAAATGATAAATAGACCAAAAATATAAAAAAAATATAATAAGTATTTTATAACTCATTCTATGAGGCCAGTGTTTTTCTGCTGCCAAAGACATCACAATAAAAGGTAATCTGCTGACTGTGATCCCTCAGAAACAGCTGCAGAAATACTTGACAGAGTGTTAGCAAACTGAATCCAGCAACTTATAAAAGGATTTTGGATCATAATCAAGTGGGATTTAGCCCAGAAATACAAGTGTGGCTTAATATATGAAAATCAGTTAATATAATATCTCATAATAATTAGTAGAATAAAGTAGAAGTCAGCAGACTTTTTCTGTATGGGGCCAGATAAGTAAATATTTTTAGGGCTTCATTGGTCGTACAGTTACCTGTCACAATTCCTCAGCCCTGCCAGTGTTTTCCAAAGGCAGCCATAGCCTATGTATAAACAAATAGGCATAACTGTGCTCCAATAAAACTTTATTTCTGGGCAGTGAAATTTGAATTTCATATGATTTTCACATGTGCAAGATATATCTTTAAAAA